AGAGACTGAGCGCGGTCAGACAAGGATTGGGACTGACTGGGGTCGGGCTAGGATTGGGGATGGGGTTGAGAGTGGAACATGGAATGGGGCTGAGCGTGTCAGACTGAGTCAGTCGTGTTGTGAGTGTGGCTGAGCAGCGGTGTATATTCAGTACATGCATATTTCTGGGTATATAGTGATGAGCGTGTGATTTCAACAGCGATTTCAACAACTGGAGCAGGTGAGACTACAATCTCTCTTCCATCTCATCCACGCAGACACACTAAAAACAGTCATGCCATCAATCTTCCATTTGCATTTGTATTTCTTATAGCGCCATTCACATCGGGGAAGACGTCTCAAAACACTTTGCAGGATTTATTGTAAAACGCAGTGACTGTATATTTTGTAGGCAAACCCCTGCTAAATACACTGAAAATCAAATAATAATCAATCATAATGATCCTTGCATTTGATATAATTTGCCTTGTCACGTCTTTGAGGCGTCTCAAAGCGCTTCACAGAATATGCTGTAAAGTGAATTGACTGTATATTTTTTGTGGGCAAAACGAGGGCAGCCAATTGCGCACAGCAGCGTCCCCACAAACATAAATAAATTACATGAGATGTTACAAATGCAGAAGAAAAACACATCTTGAAATCTTCAAGCCAAAACAAATATAATTCTTTAAAAAAAAATCCCAAAACAGCCATTTGTATTTATATAGCGCCCTTCACATAGGATAATGTCTCATAGCACTTCACAAGGACAATATCCAATCTGAGTATGGGGGGGAAGAGGGAGAGAGAGGAAGTGACCGTAGACAAGGTCGAAGAGGTAGCTAAAGTAAAGTTAGTCGATGGGAGTAATCTAGTCAGTGTTAAATGTGATGACTTCCAAAAGCACTTCACAATATACCTCACTAAGGTCATATTAAGAGCTGCAGCAAAGTAACGGGAGCTCTCAATAATCAGTGCTCGTCTCTGATACTGGTCGTAATCTGCATAAAAGTCCTTTATGAGAAGATCAGAAACAGAATTCGCAATTTCAGCCGTTGACACAAGGTATGCGTGGGATGGGAAAATATGTAGCAGCAGCAGATATTATTCACAGGGATCTGGAGAGTCTCAGCTGCTGTACTAATGAATGGCAACTGGCATTTAAAGAGGGAGTTTGGTCATTAGGACCCCTTTAAAACATTAAATGGTTACAAAGAACCGTGATTCACTTTAAGTTTATATCTGTCCATTTCTGTTTATTTCTTGTTTTTTTTTCTCTCTGTTTAAATAGCGAATGCTGATAAGCTTGTTGTGAGAATTTACCATCAGGACTCACTCAGGGCAGGAGTGTGAAGAAACTACACCAACTACTATAGCTGTTGCTAAAGTTGCCTGATGCCTGAGGGATTCAGGGTTAACAACTGTATCTGTATTGACGTTAATTCTACTCCCTAAACAGTGGTAACTCCTACAAACCAGATCTCCCCATTGAAATCATCAGCACTGAAAGTCTGAAGAAATATTTATACTACGAGCTGAAATACTCAGAAAGGAGCACAAGCATGTGAACATGTTAACATAATTCTTTGTAAAAGTTAACTTTCAAGAGGTTCACTGGTGGTACTGCTCGAGCACAGACATGATGAGCCAAATCTGCGGAAAATTTCTATGGTTCTTTGATAATAATAATAATAATAATACTTGCATTTGACATAGTCTCATTACTTCGATGAGACATCTCAAAGCGCCTCACAGAATATACTGCAAAGTGAATTGACTGTATATTTTGTGCGCACAGCAGCGTCCCACAAAGATTCGGGATCGAGCAGCCAAATTATTATTATTATTATTATTTTGAAGGGATTTTGACTCCCGGAAAATGATCCGCCAATTGACTAATAACCGCGTTGTAGAGTAAGGAAAGTTGTCTAAGGTTTCCCCCCACCCGGGGTTTGAACCCAGGTCCTTTAGCTTCCGCGGTGAGTGCTCTAACTAACATGCTGCAGGATTCAACTTCAACCTTTAAAATACCAAAAGACCTACCACTCCTCCACATTTACAGTCCATTATAGTGGCCTTAACTCTACTCGAGCTCCACAATAGCAATCCTATTCCCCGGCTCACTAAAATAAATATGGACAATTTTAAGCACAAATAAAACAATTTTTAAATATTTTCTAGTCTTCCTCTCTCATCCTTTTTTCCTTTCTCTTTTCCCTTCTTTTCCTTATATCAGTCCTCCAGAGAGATTGTACTCCAATGTGTACATAATTTACTTCTCCATGAGAAAATGTTTAGTTAACCTTTCTCGTTTATTTAGAAACAAAAAGTGTTGAAGACACAAGTATATTTCCAGAACATATTATCAAAGTAAATCTGTTCGGCGATCAACCCATCCTGTAGTCTTTCTGAGAAAGATCATCAATAGAATACCATTTAATTTTGTTATTTTTATTTTTGTTTCGCCCACACACAGTCGCGTGTATCCTGTGAAGCGCTTCGAGACGTCTCAATGACATGATAAGGCGCTGTATCAAATGCAAGGATTATTATTATTTTAAATTGTATTACGGTTAACTGTCACTCAGGTAAAATTGCCCTGTAAGCTATTTTATGTGTGATCCTTCGAGCCAGCAGGAAACTCATCCCATCAGACTGGTTGAATTCAAACCAACATCCCCCAAAACAATGATGTAACCTAACATGCCCTCATTTTCCTCACTGGGATATATTTTAATTGAAAAATGCTTCGTTTTAGAATAATTAATAAGCGTGCTGCCTGATATTTTTATAATTCTCTTGTACAGTTATAATTAAACATTGTGAATAGAGCAATCATTAAATTCCCATGTGGGTTTGAAATGAAATCCCTTTGATATCGTGTTAATGAAATGTTAAATCACTTCCTCCACCTGTGATTGTGTACACCAAAACTTGGTATCATTAGTATCACAGCGACTGACTGATGATTAACTAACTGCATGTATGCAGGAGATTTTATCATTGATACTGCATTTGATTCATTCACAAATTTGATTGGGGGGCAGGGGGGGGGAGAGAATATATAAATCAATCGACAGACCAACTGAGAATATACAGACAGACCGGTACAGAGAGAGATCAGTCAGTTGAAAATAGTGGGCAATGATGGTCAATAGTAAATCACTGCAACTCGAACCAGAAGCCCACACTCAAATGAATATATTCAGTGATTCCCATTTACTACTGTAACATGTACAGCTTCTGCACTGTGTCGTGTTATTAGCAATACGATTCATAGAAACCTACAGATTTTACAGCATGGAAGGAAGTCAATTCATTGTGCTTTTGCTGGTTCCCCGAAAGAGCCAAGCATTGCATTTCCATTTTATATTGTGCAGACCTTTGTCGAAGCTAAAACAGGGTGAATTATCAAATGCAAGTGTCATTACTGTGCATTGCGATTAAGCAGATGTGTTATGCTGTGTGGGGGTTGCTGAATACCATGACTGTTATCACACACATTTTGAATTGGAAAATAATTGCATATGCTAACTCGAACTGTCGTGCTGCTTTGTCGTTGTTTTGTGAATCAAAGACACGTTTCAGCAGTGGGTCGTTTGAGAAAGTGTGCCTCGAAGAAAAGAAACTGCTAAAGGGCTCTGTGGATGACCCATTGGGGGCACAGCAATGAATGGCAATGCTCCATTGACTCGCCTATGCAATTGCTCCCACACCCTGAGTGCCTTCTTTTAGCCATTCCACCCCACTTTGGTTGAGAAATCCACTGGAACTTGCCCACATTGAGGGAAAACGAAAATCTACCAAAGCCCTGTTCAGAGCAGAACCACACATCTTGCTATCCCCCCCCCCCCCCCCCCCACACACACACACACACAGAGATGATGTATATTAGAAATGTGTGTGTCTGTGTGTGTGTGTCTGTGTGTGAGTGAGAGTGAGTGAGAGAAGGGGCATGGAGATGTCATAAATATATATATATGTGTATACTTATTGCTCCTTTGCAAAAGTAAAATATAAATTGCAACGAAGAACACATCTTCTTGCTTATTTATGTCTGTATGGCATCATCACTCTCCCAAAACAAGTGCCATTCTGCCTCTACTCTCTCCCTAAACAAATAATCTTCATTTTTTTTCATAACAATAATGTCATTTCAGCATACATATGTATGTATATATATATATAAGGTGACCAAAAATGTCGTGATATCATTACAAGTCTTAAATAAATTATGATTTTTTTTACATAATAGGGTAGCTATCATGACTTTTTGGTCACCCTGTGAATGCTTCAATAACTTAGATTCAAAAACGTTCAGCTGTTGGTTCAATAAATATATTGGCATTGGGGTAATAATAAGTGAGAGTGTTTAAATATACAGTACATCCATCTCCCCCTTATGCTATTAGGTTACATGTTGTGTGTGTGCATGTAATAACAATTCATGAAGGTAATAATAATGCAGGTAATGTGTATATAGGTAACAATAATCAATGATATTAGTATGTATGTCGGTGCTCACAGATTGAAAGCCAGGCCAAGTGACTTGAGGTGGAGTGACACTCAAAATGTTAACCCACTGTTCTCTCTCTCTCTCTCTCTCTTGCTGTCTCTGTTCAGAAGCTCATTGCTCTGCCAAAGTGGGGAGGAAGGGGGGGAGGTGGGGGGTGGAATTTTTAATACATGGCAACCCAGCTTCATCAGACCTTTTCTCTGGCTGGTGAGAGATGGTTCATGGCCTTAAAGGACCCTCTCAGCTCAGCTCAGCTCAGGGGCTGTGTGTGCCTTTGGTAAACAGTGCAATCTGTGTGTGTGTGTGTGTGTGTGTCTGTGATTGTATCCATTACACACAGATCTGACGCACCCCACCTTCTACACACACCCCACACACACCCCACACCCTTAGAAAACGCCCTGTCTTCCCCACCACCCACCCACCCACCCACCCAACCCTCTCCTGAGGTCTGCACAGAGCCATGTCCCGAGGGTGGGGGGAGTTTGACGTCAGATGTGCAAGGAAGTCGCCAAACTGGAACAGCCCAAAGAGAAAGTGATTCCGGATTCACCTCCAACCTGAGCCCTTCAACACTGTGTGTGAGTGAGAGAGTGAGTGTGAGAGTGAGTGTGAGTGAGTGTGTCTTTACAACTGATATGGAATAGCACTTTTCGAAGCTTAACCCAACACAGATCAATGGTGAGTCCAAAGTTCTTTGATTACTATTATTATTATTATTATTATAATTTATTCGTTTGTTTTATTTTTTGTATGTGTGTGTGGGGGAGAGAGAGGAAATTAAATGAATGAGGAAATGAGACACGTGTGTTTGTAAAAAATGCTAACTGTTTTATTTTAACCCCCCCACACCAGCACCCCCCACCACTCCATCACCACCCCACCCACCCCCCCCCCCCCCACCCCCTTATTTATTTACAAATCACAGCTCGTTTCTGTGTGGAGTTCTCCAGAATGTTTCACCCACAAGGTATGCAGTCAATTCACTTTAGAGTGTATCCTGTGAAGGGCTTTGAGACGTCTAGAAGGCTCTGTATCAAATCCAAGCATTATTATTATTATTATTATTATTAGGTTACTTCCAAAGAAGCTGTCTTGAGAAAGAGCAGTAAATGTGTTGGTAAATTAAATTAAATGTATTGGTAAATGAAATGCATTGGTAAATGAAATGCATTGGTGAATTAAAGGTACTGGTGAGAAAAAAAAACGACTTGGGATTTTCTGTGAAACTGTTCCCTTTGGGCTATTTCTGTGGGTTTCAAGCAGAAACAGACATTGTGAGCAAATAGGAAGAATAGATTCCGTGCCTTGAGCCTGAGTGAGGTTGGGGTCACTTTGGCGAATTTCTCACCATCTATAAATTATGTTCCAAAAAAAAAAACAATCCCTCTGCGCTTTGTCAGACCTGCCAGGGACGTTGGAAAATACAATTCCAGAAGGTTTATATCATCGAGAAGAACCGAGTCTGTGGTTAAAGCCACCAGAGAGAAAGAGACACACACAGTGTTACTCACTGCTAACCTTTTTACTGTCTGTCTTCCTGACTCGCCAATGTTTTTTTTGGGGGGGGGGAATTCGCAGAACGTTAGTTTAAATCCCCCACCAAACCCTCCCCACCAAAAAAAAAAATTACAATTGAAAAACCGTGAGAAATACACCAGGGAAGGGAGGGGAGGAGAAGAGGAAAAAAATACTTGTAACCCAGGGTCCTAAAACAGCAGTTTCTGCAAGTCAATAAATGATCAGATTGTAGAAACTGAACCAAATATTGAGTTAAATGTGTGTAATGTGTGTAATGTGTGTTGTGTGTGTGTGTCACTGATGTGATTCCATGTTGGGAAACCAGTTCACTCGCACAGCACTAAATCCAGTGAGAATGTGTTCATTGCTGATCACACAACAGCCACACACACACACACAAAAAAAAATCCCCAGTTCTTTTAAAATACAATTAAAATAAAACCAGCCCAGTGTCAGGGAACTTAAACGGGGACAGAACCGGTCAGAACCAAAAAAAAAATGCTTTAGATTTAAGTCGTCTGTTCCCAGGTCGAGAGGAATGAGGATTTTCTTGTCGAAAATGATCTGAAATTTATCCAATCATTGGCTTTAAGATGAGATCAATTTAAATAGCATTTAGTTGTAAGGTTTTACCCGGAGATATCAGTTGCCAACTTTATCTTAATTCGCCAAATCAACTTAAATAGTGCACAGTGTTTTACTTGCAGGAATTTGTACTTTTGTGCTAAAAATACTAGATTCCCCCCCAAAAAAAAGGCTTATGACATAAATATATATCAGCGCTGTTCACAATTTCGGTGTCACCGAAAATACGAATGAGCTTTTCTTTTAGTTATTCGTCTGTGAATTTATGTCACGCGAAAAAAAGAAACTCAGTCTTTCTCATTTAATGTACAATTTAAAAATAAAGAGAATGGACCTAATCTGAAACGGGCAAACGTCGCCTACAGGACAGTTGAACACAATATCCAGTAAAACAATTTCCCCATCCAATGTAAGTTTTACCATCTTCTTAAAATGGCCCTTTGAGAAATGCTCCTTTAAACCTTAACCCATTTACAAATGTTCTCTCCTGACTCTGGGACTCACCGCCAATGGAATAGTTTCTGGCATTGAAGGCATCCCACCCTTTGCATTGGGAATTAAACATTTGATTGTTTTTTAACGGATATTCTTATGAGGTTTTGCATCTCCCGGAGGACAGAAATAGACGGGTTAAATAAACCTGATTCGCAGAAGTTCTTTAGTGCTGCATCTTGCGAGCAATTAAACGACTTGATGACTATTGCACTGAAAACTGGACCAGCATTTGTGTGTGTAAATATATATATATACATATATATAATTGATGATCAATCAATGGCAACATCATTTGCGATTTGACTGAATATTTGGGTGAAACACACAAAAGCCAACTGGTCAGTTCTTAAAACATGTGGCTTTGTAACCCAACTAACAACTCCTGTAAGGAGGGGCCTCTCATCAACTCAAACTGCTCGGCCAGAGATGGACTTGTATGCAAGGAGGCCATTTTTCACGTGAAAGTGTGTGTGTGTATGTATGTATGTGTGTGTGTGTGTGTGTGTGTGTATGTATGCATGTGTGTGTATGTCTCTGTGTGTGTGGGAGGAGGAGGTATGATGAGAGTTGTATAATATACACTCACGTTACAATGAAACTCAGTCCTCAGACTGACTGACTTAAGCCCTGTGTGTGCACTTACTCAAAGGCATGATTCTGTTTTGTTACTACTCGAATGTTTCAACGAATGCGATTCAATCGAATGAATTGTCTGCAGATATTCACAATGTTTAACTTAAACAGCTGCACAAGTCCTGCTTCTGATCTCTGGCTTCTCCCATTTCCCAACCACTCAGGTCCATGTCACCAGTTCCTACGCCTTGAAAGTCGTACTGCCTTCATATTCCTTCCCGAGTCCCTGGATCCAGATTAAAATCTAACCTTAATTTCGTGTCTGGTTACTTACAAATCGGTGCCACCACCGAATAATAACCCGAGAGCGATTCTGGGCATCAGACCTTTGGTGATTCCTATTTGTGTGTAAGAATTCAGCGGTGCAGAGACATGGGGAGCAGTTAGTACAAGTATTTTTAAATCCGAATCAGTCAGCCTTTTTTTTTTGTGCGCTGGGTGGTTGGTTCAGCAATAAATTGAAACGATCAGTCAACGGATTAACTGTGAAACCAGTGTATTTCCCCCCCCCCCCCCCCCCCTTCTAATTGACTGTACGTTTCCCTGTAAAACAGATATCCTGCCCCCGACTGCACTTCTGTTAGTCCACACATCAGCTTCTTGTTTGGGTAAAAAAAAAGGAATCTGAGCCCATTCAAAAGCAGATGTAAGCGCACAGGGCGTTATTGTAAATAGTTCTTGCAATAATTTCAAGCAATGGGTGAATTAAATTGGGTGCCATGTAGCAGATCGTGATAACAGTCCTTGTAGCATTAAACTCGCTGTGCAGTATCTCGTTTGCAATGTTATCTGAATTATATATGAAGATATATTTAGGCTTAACTCTCCGATTTCGACTTAATATTCCAGTAAGATTTTTTTTTTGCAACACACGAGGCAACGAATTCCGAATAAAAATAAGAGTATGTCTCTCATGTGTTTAGTGTGATCGAACGAATAAGATAAATAGTCTTATTGTGGTTCGGTCGTGCAAATTCGAATCAAAGATCTGGGAATATCTTTGTAGCAAAGGGTGGGGTGGGGGGGGAGGGGGTGGGGTTCATTTGAAAGCTCACTGTAATGAATTATAAGTTGGAATTCAATGCAACAGACACTCTTTATCCACAGCAAAGGTTCGCCCAGTGAGAGAGAGAGAGAAAATATATATATATATACATATATATATATTGCATTCAAACGAACTGGAATCAGAATTCCTCTTCCAACCCAAAACCATAAACGTAAAAAAAGAAATGTGCGTTGACTTCGAATGGCTTCGTCTGAATCGAATCCGGATACGGACGGATCCAGTCCCGCTCCAGGTTTCACACAATTAAACATTCATTGGAAAATGCGATGCAAATGGTGTGAAACAGCCACTGTGCGAGTCGGGCTGTGAAAACTGTGCAGCGTCCGAATCACAGCGATCTCATTAAATAGCAATTATTGCAAACCCTTCGAGTGCTTAAACCCAGTGCAATCTTTGTCATGTGTGAAACGAACACCGTTCACACCAGTTATACCTCGTCTTTTTCTCTCTCTCTGTCTCTCTCTCTCTCTCTCTCTCTGTCTCTCTCTCTTTCCTCTCTGCTTTTGCAACAGGGACTGATTGCTCAGTGTGTGGTGAATCCCAGAGGGTCTCAGTGCAGATCTATAACTTGGTTTGTTTGTTTGCCTCTTGTTTTTTTTTCTTTAAGCAGAGATACACATTTGGGCACAGAAACCGATTCACATTAAGAGTTTCCCCTCCCACCGCGGATTCAGGTAAGGCCGTCTTCATTTAGATTTTATTTGTTAGTAAAAGGCTTTCCCCCCCCCCCCCCCCTCCCCCTCCCTCACCCCACCACCCCCACAACTTGTGGGTTTGGAATCTAATGGCAAATCCCCATCACCTTTGTGAAGCAAAATAAAATGCAAACACTCTTATCAAATGTCTCCACTTGGTTTGGGTTAAGGTGTGATTTTGTGTTTCAAATTGGGGTTGGGGGGGGGGGTTGTTTAATTGTCTGAATTCAGCTGTTTCAGCTCATTTTCTTCCCCCCCCCCCCCCAATCAACCGAATACAGAAAGTATAACCTGTCTGGAAATGTTAATTGCACGACTGTGTGTCGGTTAGTTTCTGGGGTTTGTTGGATTTATTGGTAAGATTCACTTTGTGAGCACTGTCTACATAGGCAGATCTTTCGCTTTTTTTAACGTTAGCGTTTGAGGCAGAAATCAACCCCCAAAAACACTGTTATAATTCACACAACGTTGTTTCAAACGTGTTCAGATCAAGTCGGGGAGCAATCCAAATCCTACTCCACTCACTCTGTGTAGAGATGTGGGGACATTTAGAAAAGGAAAACTAGTTTCTGGTCGACTTCGAGTTTTGTTCAGGTTTGCAAAGTGCGACCTCAAATAATGCATATTATTGTTTTGGACGATTTTTAAGGCTCTATTTACAACGACTATTGCACACACAAAGCAACAGCGCACTCAGTGTTCTGCACATGAAGATGCACGTTAGCTTTCTGTTCTAAAAAAAATAACCCAGTTTTGCCAATAACCCAAGCGGTGAAATGAATAATAATATTAATTGCAATAATATTTGCACTTGATACCAATCTACAAATTGAAACGGATCGAATAACAAGAGGAGCTGCAGAATTAAACCATCCCAAACAGCCTAAATAATTCGAATTGCCTTCTTATCAGCGTTTTCCATTCCTAAACGCAGTGACTGTTTGGGTGTTTGAGGCAGACAGTGTTACATTTACACTGGACCCACAGGTCAGAAAGATTCATGAGAACATCTAACTCAATCTGAGAATGTTAAATTGAGGTAATTCACTCTTTATATAGAACATAATATATATATATATATATATATATTGCCCATAAAATATACAGTCAATTCACTTTACAGTATATTTCTGTGAAGCAGCTTTGAGACGTCTCGAAGATGTGATAAGGCGCTGTATCAAATGCAAGGATTATTGCTATTATTATTATTAACAAGGAGAAAGAAAAGGCAAGGGGCGATAGAGTTAACTACAAATGCTACCTCCTTTATTGCACGTTCACAACTCCCTCGCTCACTGCTCTCTCACATATTGTAAACTGTTTCAAATAATGCAATGCATTCCAAGATTAAATGATAATCACCTTCGCTCTGCATGTGTTACAGTGGCCACAGCTGTAAAAAGCATTTGAGGGATCAAAGAAACCAGGCCAACTATTTGCAGGAACAAAGTCATTATAACCCAGAGACAAGAATTCCCTCCCGAGTTTTCAATAAGCAAAAAATCAAAGACTGTTTGGTACATTTTCCCCAAGACCTCACATGTTTGGTTTAAATGTTCTCCATCTGCAGTTGAATAGAATTACAGTATTGAAGTAAGTGCTTTAGACTGGGTGGGTCAGGCGGACAAATCTAGTTTAAAGTTGGTAAGTTAAGCGAGTTCTCCTAACAGTTTTGAAACTTCTTAACGCTAGCAGGTGTTTAGATAGTATTGTATGTTCACAATCCACCTTGTCTTATTAGCTCCGAGACGCTACCCCATGTGACGGGTGCAATATGAATGCAAATTGCTGTAGTTTGTTGCTGTCGTTAGCATAAGGTTCCTCTGTGTTAACAGTTTTTTTTATATTTAGATTATTTAAAACAAAACACCCAGTAAATTTCGCAATGAGAGCAAACCAAAAGCAGGAAAGTAAAATTGTCCATTGCCATAAATTGTTAGTGGAAGCTTTTTAATTTGATGTTCAGATACTGGAATACTGCTTCTTCAGTCCCAACAATAACATGTTAAATAAACACCATGAATCGAATGAAAGAAAATACAATAAATATCCATTGTAAAAACAAACTACAAAGAAATCTGCAATTAAGATGCTAAACAAAGTGAATGTCACAAATAACTCACAACAAACAAATGTTTCAATGAATTGTCAATGGCAATCCGTGAGATAACAGAAATATTATTCTGGATTTGTTTTATGTAAGGCTAATAGCTGAAGGAAGGCATCAAGATAAGAGTATACCTACAGTAAGGAGTAGTTGGATCCAGTGCATTATTGAAATGGCTCTGTTCAACTTTCTGTGCTTACTTTCATTTATTGTGTTATTCGTCCTGCTGCTAAAGATGTATTTGCTGTGCATCCTTTCCTCATCTCTGGAGTGTAATCGCATTCATTTCAAATCACAAGCTGGGAAGGTGATGGGAAGTGGGTATGTCATTTCGCTGACGTGGAGAAGGAAACAATCTGAATGCATCAGTCACCTGTGAGAAATAATATCCTCATCAATACAACCTTTTAAATACATCTATTTTGTGTTTATGGACCACCTCCCGAGTTTTATTTAAGAATCATCTTGGTGGGAAGAAAATACTGAAATCAGCTATATCAGGCCGATGAATTTATCACCAAGAGATTTTGTGGTTAATCCGGGATTCTCTTGCGATTTTAGCATTTCATCCTTGTATTAATTTAGCTCCATCACACTTTCAGGCATAGTAACTCACCCAAGTAAATTGGAATAAATCCTAATATTGAGCAAAGCATGACACCTGAATGACGACTGTAGTTTCTAATCTGTCACCCATTCTTGTTATCCAGTATTAAGATGAAGGCAGGGAACAGACATTTTGTGTACTTTCACTCCAGTATAATAATGAATAGGCGCAGTGGGAGTCCAAGCAGTACTTCTTATTCATTGTGTTGCTGCTGTGAAACCTCATATCACTTCAGATGTAAATCCACAGAGAAGGTCTATTTCCAGGACTGCCTCACACTCAAGCCTTAAAGCATATTAAAAAGAGACAGCATAAGCGGGCACAAAAATAGCATCCTTCATAGGATTTAACTTACATGGCAACTAAGCCAAACAAACTTTTTCTGGAATATAAAAGTCCACCACGTATAAAAATATAAAGATATATAAATATATTTAGAAAAATTAATAAATACATGAAACTGATCCGAGTTCCATCGTACATGTGCAACATAGAGCAATGTTATCAGGCAGGTGCAATCCATGACGTTTTGTGGGACGCTGCTGTGCGCAATTGGCTGCCGCGTTTCACCCACAAAATGTATAGTCGATTCACTTTACAGTATATTCTGTGAAGCGCTTTGAGACGTCGCAAAGAAGTGAAAAGGTGCTATTTCAAATGCAAGGATTATTATTGTGATTATTATTATTATCTTCACCGGCATGGACCCTAATTCATTCACAGGTGGAGATGTTTGTCATGTCACGTGTGGGTTTTGACTATAAGCAAATTGTAGCTGAATATCTGTGGGGAAACAAACATATAATAATGAGGTGGCCATGCTCCAATACTTTTATTTGGTGTATCAAGTAACACAGTTGTTTATATTTTAGGGCAGGGCCAACAAATTTGTATTTCAGTTTGTTTGGGGTCCCTGGTTATGTTATAATTCCCTCAATGGTGGGATGCTGATCTAATATATCTGTTATATATATATGTGTGTGTGGAGTCCTGTAGTTCACAAGTGAGAGGACCTGGTTTCAATTCCCAGGTAGAGCAAAATGTAGGGCAAGTTTCCTTACTCCACACGCCTCTGTTTACCTAGCAGGAACCTGGTTGTTAGTCGATTGCTGGATTGCTTTTCTGGGGTAATAATCCCATCAAAAAAAAAATAATAATAATTTGGTCACTCAATCCACGACTGTTTGTGGGGACGCTGCTGTGCGCAATTGGCTGCCGCGTTTCGCCCACAAAATATACAGTCAATTCACTTTACAGTAGTTTCTGTGAAGCGTTTAGAGACATCTAGAAGACTGAATAAGGTGCTATATCAAATGCAAGGATTATCATTATTATTTCTTACATTAATGACCCATGAATTCTTTAAAACTCAATGTCAAATGGTTAGGCTAAGTAATGGATCAATATTTTAGGTTGTCAATAAGCAGCAGCAGAATGCTTGTGATTTATTTTAAACTGAATAATGGGGCTCTTTTCAGTGATGTTTCTATACAGACTTTCTAACATGTCAGACTCACATTAGCAGCTGTAGCTACAGCTGCTTGAAACTATGTCCGAGGCACTGAAATACACCAGTCAACTGTTCATGTTACCTTAGAACCCCCAAAACATTGCCAGGTGACTGGAGCTGTCATTGTCATTTCGCCCACAAAATACACTCAATTCACTTTACGGTACATTCTGTGAAGGGCTTTGAGACGTTTCAAAGACGTAATAAGGCGCTATATCAAATGCAAGGATTATTATTATTATTATTATTGGCATTGACCACAGTAACAGTTCAAGTCCTCTGGATTCACAGACCCCTTAGATCAGTGGTGGCCAACCTTCTTGGTTGGCGAACGCCGACAGGTCACTTCTGTCCCACGGGCTATTGGTTGTCCTCCACTGCCTTAGATGAAATTAAGCTTTCCATTTTCTTTTGATATAATATTGTACACGGGTGCTACTTTGAACTGCTACTGCTGTTGGAGACACTTGAACCCTTCTGCGCACACAAAAAGCCTTTGAAACTCAACTATTTCAGCCATTCTCTGATGTTGAGGTACCCAGTGTAAGATAGTTACATTGCTGCTGCCATTGGGGTAAGGTACGGTCGGAGGCGGGCAATGTGGCGGAAGTGGAGGAAGGCGGTCCTGGTCAGGGACTGGATGTGGGGTAGGAAGGACAGCTGTGGGTCAAACCCGACTCCCTAGTTGTGCACCGGTTCAGTGAGTCTGAGGGAAAGGCCGGGGAGGTTGAGGAGGTCAGAGCCGCAGGCAGAAG